CGCCGCTGTGAATACATTGGTTTATATAGTGAAATCTATACATGGCCAAAACACGGACGCACAACACCCATTCTATTTCGCTCACACTTACGTGCAATTTTTACCCGTATAACAAAGTAGTCTGCTTTACTGTTAAAAAGATGTGCGCAGTAAAGAAACAAGAACGTACATGTTTCAGCAACGTTAAAGTGCACGTAAGTGTGAGCGAAATAGAATGGGTGTTGTGTTAAAATGAATAGTTTAATATACCAATGGACTCAAAACTGTATCAAATCATGCATATTTTTCCAAAACAGTACATTGAGCGCGTCGCCGAACAAAGTGATACAACGTTCTGTTACTGGAACAAAATGAAACACTTGCCGCGCTTCGAAATAAAGCGCAACGTGAATAAAATAGTAGCCAACGATTTCATGCTTCATATTGATCCAATAACAGATTGGTGTTTCACTTTGTTCGGCGATTTTTTTGCGTTTCGTATTCATCGGCGAAGAGTCAATACGTTGTTTTTATGCTCACGGGTTCATATGTACAACAGATTTGATCGTTTTCATCTTTGAATCAATTGAGAAATCAGAACCGTTGTGCAACATTTTCAATTGTAAATGTCACTTGAAATCTTCAAACTATTCATTAGCTCTAGAAATATGCACGATATAATAATCATTTTCAGTATAAAAAACTGTCGAAGCAAAAACATTTTGCTTCTCTTTGGAGATTTCCCTTTCTGTTTCCAATTCGTAAAACAGCAGTTTTGACGCAGCAACCGTCACGCCAATCAAATGTGGTGTTCAAAGGATGAAACATTGAGGCCGAACGATTCGTTTTGTGAATGTCGATCAGCACAGCGGCTCATTGGTGTAGGAACATTGTCAAGAAATTGACGCACATTTCTTTGAGTGAACATTAAACGAAAAAAGGCAATTTTTTTGCGAGTTAGTTGCTTTAATTGCGAGACCAAAACCCTTTTTCAGGTATGTACGGCTAAGAATAGAGTTTTTGCACAAATTAAATTGTGGATTATTTTGGAAATTGTTGTGAAATTGTTGTTTCGTCATACCGGTTCACATTTTCATGTAATGACATGTTCAAAGCGGGAAAAATCGCAATATTCTAGACCGATTGCATTGATTGACGCGAATAAAACAATATAAATTAATTCGATCACAACAAGTTTTCCCATTTTTTTTTGTTACCAATTACAATTAATGGATTGCGGTTTTTTTTTCCAAAGATTATTTCGCAATTTTGAGGCGAGATCTGGATTGAGACAGGGAGACAGAGAGCAAACGAAGCCTGATCTATTCAAATCGTTTGGATTCATACGAAGTGGACTTATTGTGACCGAGGTGAGTTTAGTGAACGTAGAAAATTGCAACAAATTAGCGTAAAATCATGTTTTTGCGTGTGGTGTACATGTTTCGACATGATTTATGGCGACGGACTGATGAATATCATCACATTGTTATCGTATTCGTTTAAAGCGATCAATCAGTGCATTGTTTTCGATTTCCGTAGCGTTAACCAATTTCACAATCGCTAATCGCTTGCAACAAACATTTCATTCGTTCTACAATTTATTTTCTCTCGTTTAGATCCATCGCGATGGCGAGGCGTAAGCGGCACAATAAGACGTTTGGTAAGCCAAGAGAGAACAAAGTCCAGATGAAAAAGCACTCAATTGTGAAGAAAAAACGTGTCAATCGGAAAGAAGATCCAGAAAAACAGTCGACAGAAAATGGCACAATCGAAATCGGCGCGATCAAATTGGCATTTAATTCGATAATTAATCCGAACTTAACAGAAACAGAAACAGGATTTCTGATCCATAAGTTCTTCGAGAAATGCTTGAATGCTACGAAAGTCATGCATCTTGCATCGCTGTTAATGCTCTACACAATCAACGAAGCATTCGATGATGGCAATTTGGACTTCTTCGTGAATCAAAATGGAGCAAATTTGATAACGGACTGTTTCAACTGTGTCACATCGGACAACATCAACGATCCACTCACAGCCCAAATGCCAGACGCATTTCTCGCGATGGTGACACAAGGTAGCCCCAACTTTGAATGGCCACGCCGCCATCAAATGACTCGCCAAGTTTATGCTCTCAAGGACCAGTATGTGACCAATTTGAAGACAAATTTGGAGACGCACTGTTGGGTGAGATTGACCCACTTTCTATGTGTAAAGTGCCATGAATTCAATCACAAAGGAAGCCCACTTGACGTTATTTATAATGCATCATACTTGCCTTTCGATGACATTGACATTCGAAATACGATGAAAAATTTGATGTACAATGAAGATTGGACATATGATGATGATGAAAGTCGAAAGTCGAAAATGGAAATACTGTTTAAGGAAGTGTCTCAGCTTTGTGGCCCATCATTCGTAAAATACTTCACAATGTACGAATACATTCAAAAGGACTGGTTCGAGTCTTTGTGGATGTGGATAGGCATTCAACGAATTGTTGAAAAATTTTCGATCGATACGGCTCACCTTCGTGAACAGTGGAAAGCATACGATCGTGATCCAGTGAACAATCGAGAGCCGTCGGTACCGAAGATACCAAAAGTGAAGAATTTCGCCGCTATTCCACTCAGTGATACAAAACTGAAGCACATACCATTCGACCATAAAGATTTGATTGATATCATTGGCCAGTTGAGAAAAGAACGGGGATGGGATATTCGTGCTGATTATCGTACATACTACAAGCAAGGCGAGAACAAAGACGAGGCATGGGGAATTGTGTTCGATATGGACAAAATCAGACGGCTCAGAACCGGTTCGAAAGAGTTTTACCACAAAATTCAAACCAACAGTAGTGCCGTGTCGGTGTTGTTTAGCAGACCCAAACGCAAAGGAGCCGGCGTGACTCTGTCTGAAAACAAAGCAAAGTACGAAAAGCCAGTCAGCAAAGGCGGTTACAAGTATGAGTCAGGAATTGATCCCGGCCAGAAAACAAAAATGGCCTGCGTGCGTCGGACTCTCGCTACTGGAATTGAAGTAAGTTGAAATATCATATGAAAATTAACATAGATTTGCATTGTTGTTGTTCATTTCACAGACCAACATCAAATTATCGAGTATTCAATATCACTGGGATGCGCGACAAGGAATGCGCGACAAACAGGCCACGAAAATGACCAGAAAGTACGTGCACAAAGAACAGCGCGACTTGAAAAGCTATCCGATCACATCCGTATCGCCGCGAGGATCACAATGGAAATCATTCATTAAGCACAAAATCAAAATGCTGACAGATTCATTGGCTACATACGCCAGAAGAAAATACGCACAGCTATCGTTGCACAAGTACATCGAGACTAATCGCGAAATGGATTTGATGGCTAAACACATAACAAACAATGAGACAGGAGTTGTATTCCTTGGTGATGCGGCGTTCCCATCAAATTCGAAAATCGGTGTGAAAAGAACAAAACGATCACCGGATCAGCGAAAGTTCATAGTTAGCCTAAAAAAGAACGGCAAAACGGATGTTGTGCTTACACCAGAGCCGTATACATCACAAACCTGTGCCAATTGCTTGCG